GGGGGCTGGAGCTGGGGCCGGGGCTGGGGCCGGGCCGTCCCCGCCCGCGCTGACATCAGTTCCCGCGTCCCCCCCGCATCCCGCATCCCGCATCCCTCCCGCCGCCATGGCCGCCAGCCCGGCCTACGGCGAGGAGAAGGGCGGCTCCTCCAGCCTGGGCGAGCCCGAGTACGGCCACGACCCYGCCAGCGGCGGCATCTTCTCCTCCGACTACAAGAGGTGCGGACAATGCGGGCGCAGGGGACAAGGACGAGCGTGCCCGGGTGGCCGCCACCGCAGGCCTTGGCCGCCGTCCTCGGTACCCGAGCCGGGCTCGAGCGGCGCCCGGCGTGCGGACGGGGACGGGGACCGGGATGGGAATGGGGATGGGGATGGGGATGGGCGTGTGGATAGGGTAAGGATGAAGATGGGGACAGGGATGGGGCAGGAGATGCGGTCACGCCGCCGCCACCGTCACTGCAGGTTGCAAAGGCCGGTGAGGGTTTTGTGGGAACGCCGCGGGATTTTGGAGATGGTGCGGTTGGGGGGATGTGCCGGAACCCCCCTCGCACCCCACGCCCTCGGGCTACGGTATCCCGGGCACGGTGTTCCCATCACGGGATCTGCTGGCTCCTGTGGCTCTCTTGAGGTGACCCCGACACCACACCCCTCACCCCCCGCACCGCATCGATGTCCCCGGCGAGCGGGGAGTATTGAGAAATGTCACCCCTGAGTGAGGTGGTGGGGGTGGAGGGGGAGGGGGTGTTCTCCTGGAGTTGCAGGAATGTATCCTTGTCCCCCACTCTGATCCCCCAGCAGGAAATCACTGCCTGGCAGCGTCACTCTCTGTACCCCTGCCCTGTCAGTSACCCCCAGTCCAGCAGTGTCCCCTCATCCCTGCCCCTCTGGCAGTGCCCTCTGGTATGACAGTGTCCCTCCAGTCCTGRTTCCCTGTCAGTGTGTGTACCCCATCCTGACCTCTTGGCAGTGGCCCCAGTCTGGCAGTGTCCCCTCTCCCTGTTCTCCTTAATGCTGCAGAGAGCATTGTGAATGTGTCCCTGATCTGTGACGTGCTGGCAGCGTCCCCATCTCACTGGGTCCCCCCTTCCCTGAACCTCTGACAATGTCCCCTCTCTCTGATGTCCTGGCAGTGTACCCAGAATGACAAGGTCCGCCCAGTCCTGAGCCCCTGGGTCCCCCACTCTGGGTGTGCCCTCCATCCATGACCTGCCAGCAGTATCCCTGTCTCATAGTGTCCCCCTGCTTTCCTGACCCCTTGGCTGTGTCCCTTGTCCCTGTCTGACAGTGTCACACTCCCTACCCCTGGCTGTGTCCCCAGTGTGACCATTTCCCCCAACCCTGATCCCCTGGCTGTGTTCTCCAGTGTGGCAGCACCCTCCATCCATGACCCACTGGCAGTGTCCCCATCTCAGACTGTGTCCCTCCCMTGAGCCCCTGTCACTGTCCCCCAGTTGTCCAAGTCTCCCTCTCTCTGACCCCTCTTTGGCAGTCTCCCAGCCTGGAAGTGTTCCCCTGCTCCCAGGTGTGCCAGTGTCCCCTGACCCCCACTGGCAGTGTCCCCACTCTGGTGGCATCCCCCAGCCCTGACCCCCTGGCTGTGTCCCCCAGTCTGTCCAAGTTCCCTTAGTGATCTGCAATCAGTGTCTCCCAMTCTGGCAGTGTTACCACCTTCATGRCAGTGTCACCACCCTCATGGCAGTGTCCCTTACTGCTGACCTCCTGGCACTGTCCCCAACACCCACAGGGTCCCTATAATCTGTGTGCCGCCACACCAGGTGGGGCACCATCCCTATGAGCCATCCATGGCACAGGGAGCAAGATAAACGCACCAAGTGTGACCCCACCACCCAGGTGGGACACCCAAAGATGCTCCGTYGTGCCACCCTACTACCCAGGTGGGTGTCCCACCATGATGTGGGTGCCCTGCCCAGGACGGAGCCACTCATCACCCGTGGGAGGAGCTCTCAGCAGGGTCCCGAAGCTGCAGGTCAGATGTCACTTGGGATGTGACATGGCAAGGTGGCCTCATCCACCGGGAAGGACGTTGTGACCGAGGCTGCAACCCAACCCCACCCACAGCATCAGGTTTCAGCCGGCTGTGCTGGGCAGCAGAGCGGGGCCACAGCCCTGTCACCATCCCCAGGGCCACTATCCCTGGGCAGAGCCATGCTGTCCCTGCCGCCGGTGCAGAAGCTGCTGCGGCAGCTACCAGGGGGGCCAGCTGGCAGACCAAAAACACCGGAGGGTGGTGATGTGGCTGAGGAGGTGACAAGCCCAGTGCTGGCCCCCGAGGCCGGACAACCCGCCTGCTACAGCGCGCTGCAAGCCGATGAGCTGCGGCCACTCGCCGGCACCGAGCCCGCAGTGGACACCGGCACCGGGCCGCCGCCGCGGTAAGACTCCCCTGAGGAGCTTCCCCTGGACCCTCTGGTGACGGTGGCTCCAGCTGAGCATCATCCCATGGGTGTCACACCCAGCTGCTGCAGGGGGACACAGCCCTGCAGATGGCCCTAGTTTGGTGGGGACCAACATCCCTTAGAAAAGAGGACAGTGGTGACAACCAGCCTTACAAAAGGCTGGTGACATTTTCCCAGCCCAGGGAGGGGACCAGAGAAGGGCTTTGGATTGGGGCATGCTGGCATGTCCATGCCACTGAGGGGACAAGGGACACCCAGCCCAGCCGGGATGGAGCCGGTGATGGTCACCTGT